TCAGAAATTATTATTCGTAGTGTTATTAGCAGGCCTGTTATTATTAATATTGTAAACTACCAGTTGAATATATTTTAAGACATTATTGGTAACATGTTTTGTTCCATATGCTTTTGTAAATTAGCGCAATAATGTTAGCCTACTTTGGCTAAAATGTAAACCACACATTTTACTTTTAATATTTTTGAAATGTTTATTTCCTGTATCTGTTAAGGAGATGCTTGCCTTTGAAGTATCCAGCAACAAGAGATACAATAGATAAAACAAATCATGTTGATGTAAAAAAAAAAAAGGGCCCCTATACATTTTTTTAACAGTCAAATAAAATACAGTAAAATGCATAAATAACAGTAATAATTTCAGAGGCCGTGGAGCAGCCAGGCAGGCTGCAATATTGCAAGGAGCCCTGATTAAATCTCTCTGATTAGATAACACTGAGTCGCATGCAATGACCTTACACCTTACAGCCTGACCTCTACCATTTCATTTTGCAGTGGGGACATAGTGGTGGGAAGAAAGGCGGTGCAGGTACACGCAGTACAACTTAACCTCCAATATCTGCATCTTCTGCATTGGAGAAAGAGAGAGAAAAAATAAACCTCACAGATGATGTAGAGCAGGTGAAGAGAAGAACTGGGGGAAATGGTTAACAGCATGACTGCATGCAAATTCCCCCCGACTTGAATTATCATAAGCAAACAGTGCGAGCCTGGACTAATAAAACCCCATCTGTGTAACTTCATATCGAGGTAGTATGAGGGCTGCGATAATGAATTTTGTAATATCCCACCGACAGACATCTCAATCAGACTCTAATCCCGTGATTTTACTACGGAATCACTCCACTTCCAACTGCAGGCTCCACCAAAAAAAAAAAAAAAAACACAAGATCCGGCTCATGCAGAACACGGAAGGTTTTATATATTCAGACTGCACAAAAATAAATATTGCACTGGAAAAATATAAAGAAATACATGGCGTACTATATACAATTGAGCTTTAGACTAATTATTCTTAAAACCAAGTGGAAACTGCGTCAGAAATAATCTTGTTTATTTGAATCCCGAGAGGTTTGTAATGTTCTGCATTTCCCAACTCAGGTAAAGTTTAATTGGAAATAAATCGATCACTGACGCAATTTTACAACAAAAAACAACGAGACTTTCATAGCAGAATGAGAATTATCATTCAAATGTACACTTTCACAAACAAACTCTCTTTTATGCTTTTACTTTATTTCTTGCAGGAGTCGAATATCTGAGTTTTGATTTTCCCATTTGGAATATTTTCCTCAAGACCACCAGCATTTTGCTCTTGTAATCCAATACTTATCCTTTGAGCACACTGTACTTTTTAGTCTTATGTGGACTCCAAAAAATATCGACATGCAGAAGTAGAATCGGATGTCTGTGAACAACACAGCGGGTTGTTTACCACACTTAAAGGCTAATTGTGGCTCTTTTGTCTGTTTTTTCAGAAGCGGTTTCCTTAAATTGCCACAATGGACACCCACTGCCGCAAACTAGCCACCACCTGCGCGCAAATAGGTGAGTACATCATCCATCATCAATGCCGCACAATCCTCACACATCACTGAAACAATTAGTTAACTATTATTTTTCGATAAAATATTAGTTAATTGTACATGATTGGTTCTGTATTTTATTTCATTCAATTTACATAAAAGCAGCACTCTTTGGTCAGGCTAACTGTGTGAGTGTTGCTTTCCAAAACAGATTAGATATTTCTTAATTACAGCTCGATATCTTGTTTTTATTTACTGCATGTTTAGTTGGAGAAGCGGCCCAAACACTGATGTGATCTTAAAACCTGATTTTGTTTAAAATAAATTAACAGTTCTGGCACAGTGTAGTTAGCCAATTGCCTTCCACTTTTGTGAGGTTTCTTAAGAAACAAGCTTAGCATCTCTAATTAAAATGGCTAAATTATGTTGACAAAACTATCTTTGTTTTCTTCACAATTTCAAGACTTGTGACGGTAAAAAAAAGGCAACTTTAGTTGGATATTTGTGATGTATTCATTTATTTTTTTGCAGTAGATGTCACTGATTATTTGGCAGTCAGATATTTGGCCTCTTTGCTCGTCAGTGTGGAGAAGCGGTTGGTGAATGCAGCGTGTTTGCTGTGTTAGAGGGACACCTGGTGGTCCAACGTGGATCTGCAGTTTCAGAGCGTTATCCGAGGATTTGATCAGGGTGACAGCTCGGCAGCGATATAATTTGCTGTAATTAGAAGATGGACATATATGCACATTTTATCATACCCTTTACTTTAAAAATTGACTGCCATTTGGCACAAGCAGTGTTTTATAACCACAAAACACATTTATGTGGCTTTTTTTTTTCTTCTTCGATATCATTTGCATTAACGACAACATGTTTTCCTAAATAACATCTATGAATAAAACCCAACTAGAGACTAAGGAACAGCTAGAATCCCTTGCTCGACAAAGTCTGGGATTTATTAATTATTCTCCACCGTGGCGGGGAAATGACATCAGGTCTGGTTAGGGTCTTAAACGAATAACCAATAACTCTCATTCCGTCTCATTTAGCCGGCACTGATGGGGCAATATGTGGCAGAGGGCAGGCTGCTCATAGCATCGTGTGGACGGCCATCGATTAAGAATAATAGGATAACTAAAATACAAAAAAAACTGAATCACACGGGAGGGGAGTCAGAGTGATGCTTGCAAATATAGACAGGCCAGCGCCAACTGTTTTGCTGTAATATATTCAGCGCTCGTTGGATTGACTCCGGGGAAAACTAAATGTATAATGAAAGCCCATTCGTGAGGAGGAATATACTAATGGAGGAATCTGATGTCTCCTTAATCCTATGTAAAAAGCCTTGTCGTCTCGCCCTATATTGACTGAATTGCTAATTAATGGCCCTCAATGGCGGAGGCCTATTGCGCGCAGTAATCCGCAGAAGAGAGATAAAGCATTCAGAAGGTAGAAATGAAGAGGAAACCGATAATCCACTTCAAATTTAGTATTACAATACGGCGGGAAGGAAAAAGGAGCAAAAGACTGTTCTCTGCTTGGCATAAAACAAGACATGGAAAATATCGGTTTATTATTGTTATTTTTAATGAAATAGTGGCCTTATTTTGAAATGTGAAACTTTTATTTTTTCAATCAAGTTTATCTAATGTACACCATTATTCATTTCTATTATACAAGGACTAATCGTTTTTTTATACCTCCCCCTATTTTAAAACTGCCTTTTCTGGAAACAATAGCAGGATTGTACCGTTTATCCCCCGAAAATAATCTGTTAATGAAAATAAATCCATTAAAATAAATACCACGTGAATGATTCCAACTTAAAATGTGCATCATCTTAATTGAATTACTCGGAGACGAACCAAACAAGGTTTTATTGCTCTGTATGAGAAGCGATTGGCTCCCTATGTTTTAATAAAGTCTCTGCCGTCCCTCGGAGTGCGCGTGTGCCGCATACAGTCTATGGTCTGCTGGTATTTATATATCAGGGGCTTTCACGGGATTAGCCCCGCAACTTCTTAACAGCGCCAAGTCCAAATGTGCTGGCTGAATGGGCGTCCGCCCGGCCACGTGGAGACGGGAAGTGATGGTGACGAGCCGATTGTGTCGTGGAATAAGAGAAGGGCCGGAATATAATACATTTTTAATGTAATTTTTCATTAACATTTGTATGAATCGCAGCAGGCTAATTGGCGTGAGCGTGTCCTCTCTGTACGATGAGTCCATCCCTTCAATCACCTGTTACCCAGCTGCCATTTGTCCCCCCCTCCCCCCTCCCCTCTTTGGAAATTAAAGTCGCATTTGTTTGATTAGACATGTTTACTTTGACTTAACGCGTCACAATCTTTTGGGAGTTATAGGTTAAAAAAAATTGCTGGCATATCGGCTCAAACTCATTAAAAGTCCTCCTTCAGAAATTCTTAGGCAAATGAGAGTCTTATCAGATTAAAAAAAACACTACAGGAGTGTTGGCTGGAAACGACTGAGGGGTCCAAACGCAAAGTGAGAGGAGAGATCCAGTTAAGCACCCAGATAAAGTAATCCGTCGTCAACAAACCGAGTATGCGTGGCTAACAGTGGCTCCGGTGGGGTTGATTTAATGGATATTTGAACCTTAACTCTGGGGAGGTCAAGAGGATCGTCTCAATTGACAACTCGTATGGCTGGCTGCATACGGGAATGATAGTAGATAGTAAGCCAATTTAAGTCAGTTTGGTGACGTCGTACTTCATATCCAAGTATGGAGTTGGATATGAGGATTAGAATGAAAATGCTTAAATTCAATGCATTAGTGGTTGTTTAACTTTAAGTCATTTTGACCACCTTTTCCCCGTTTGTTTATTGCCTTTGATGCATCCATATCATTACAATTCTGCAGCGAGCTGCACCAGCTTCAACATATACTTTATTAGTCGTTGACGTGCGCACAGATTTGTGTCACAGAATTGCACATTTGAAGTTCCATGTATTTTTTTTGCCTTTATTCGTGTGTCCTTTCATGGAACCATTGTGCTGTAGTAAGCTGCTGCGTTTGATATTCAGTGTGCATCTCTCTTTTTTTTCATACGGCTTTCAATACAATCCGCTCGGTGGCTCTCTTTATCCACACCCTGAGTAAACTACGGTGACAGAGCATGCGAGCTGCACAGCTTGCGTATCAATAGAACTGCATCGTTTTACTGGGCCACTGGACCCATCTCATAAAATGAGGCCAAACTGTGTTATTTTCATTTTTATTTGGTCTTGGGCTGCTGCGCAACGGCTACGGAGCGCCGCGGGTACACCGTGCGTCCCATCTCTCTTTACATGCTTTTATTTGGAAGAGGGAAATAAGCGCCAGCCCCGGCATAAACACATTGGCACACATATCTCGTTTCCACGAGCACCGGTTGGTTGGACGCGCAGTCATATCCACATGAATTGTGCCTGTCAGATGGGCGGGTGCAACGCGGTGACGTGGAGGTCTGAGGAGACGCGCAGTTGGACAGTGCGCAGGCAACAGCTGAAATGAACAGAGAGCGGTGCAGTGTGTGTATGCCTCTGGATCTAATATCACCTACCTGTCCTTGTCACTCTGATAGTCAGCCGAGGTAGCCGCTGTTTACCACCGATGCTAGTATGGCAGCACTCAATGGCCCATTTTAAAGCAACTTTAAACAGAAAGGTTTCATCTCAGCCGCAGGAGGAACCGCTCTGCTGTGCGTATTTTTGGAGAACAGAACACATTCCGCAGACGGACTTTCCGCTCATCCTTGCTGTACTGAAGGGACTTACTCTGCTTTTGACAGCCGGCTTTGCGATCTTCTACCGATGAACTCTATGAGGGATCCATTAAACATAGGCCATCACCACGTTACAGGGAATAAACTTGCCTCCACGCACCACACGGCTCTGGCGATGGCTTCCACTTTACAGCCGCTGCAGCGGTCTGTGGACTCTAAACACCGGTTAGAGGTGCACACGGTGTCGGACACGTCCAGTCCGGAGTCTGTCGGTAAGAACCGCACGGGATGCAGATGTTCTCAGCCAGGCGCCGCAGATGTCATCTTGACATCAAACAAACGGTGGCTCCCATTAATCTGCGTAAAGGGAGTTTCACATGGATGCTAAATAGGCGATTATAGCTGTCATTTTATTCACGCGTAATCAGTTTTGACACTGGCCTGTGTGCATGGTGTTGTGGAAAGTTGCTGTGTTATGGAAGAGCTTGTCCTGTCAACTGGAATTAGTCCGGCGTATACTCTGATACTGCGTGCTCAGATAAAATAAAAAGGTCAATTTACTAAAATCCAATAGAATTAAGAAAAAAATATATGTATATAGTTTTAAAAACGTAATTTAATTGTATGCATCACAGGATTTCTTCCTCAGTGAAGTCAGACTGCGAACTGCTCATCCATTTCCCAACAGTGTCAGGGATTCAGGATTTTGTTTTGTTCCCTCGCTATAGCATGCAGGCCTTAATCCTCCTGACCCTGACTGAATCAACTTCTTTCCTCTTGACAGAAAAAGAAAAGAACCAAAACAAAAATGACGACTCCTCAGACGACCCTAAAAAGAAGCGGCAGCGGCGGCAGAGGACTCACTTCACCAGCCAGCAGCTGCAGGAACTGGAGGCCACCTTCCAGCGGAATCGCTACCCGGACATGAGCACGAGGGAGGAGATAGCCGTGTGGACCAACCTCACAGAGGCCCGGGTCAGGGTGAGTACTCCCTTGGGTGCTAAACAAAACAATCCGTGTGTATAACTTTGGGTAATTTGGGCCAATCGCCCGGTTAACCTCTCAACACCGTATACCTCATCATTATTACGCACGGACACCTAACTTTACGCACGGCTGAAAATTCCATAAAAATAATGTAGGATCGTTTTTTTTCCTCGATAGAAAACAAATATAAGAGTCTTGTTTAAAATTAGATTTGATGTGTTTGTCTAGTCGGCTAAATAGAATTCCAAACCTCTGCACACAATGCAAAATAATCCGTTTTAGCACAAATAAATGTGTGGTTCTCGACACACTTTTAATCTGTTCAGTAATTTCATAATAAAATTGGACAAAAAAAATTAACTATTTGTTATTTGCCCGTTATGTGTTATAACACACTATTACGTTGTTAACAGTTGGGGCTGTTGACATTTTGTCGGTGGTGGCAGATACCAGTCGCGTTCTCCTGTTCGTGTGAAAGAGATGCAAAGCTTGTATTTTGCGATTGCCGCCCTGGTGCTGTGTGATTAAGGTCAGCGTGTTAGTGGAAGCCTGCGGAGGAACACACGTCCTCTCCACATTAAGATGGTGCAGTGAGAGCCCAGTGTGTATTCTGCTCAGATAACGACTGATTCAAAGCGGCATTTGTCTGCACGGGGAAAATAAAGATTTAAGAGTGTTTGGATTTGTAGACGTTAAACATATTTAAATCTGGAATTTAAATTAAGCACCAACACCACACAATTAGAGTAGAGTGAGTAAAAATTAGAGATACTTAAATATATAGGCTGTAAAAACTGACGTTATTGTCAAAAATGGTTTCTAACCTGCTGGTATTTTCTTTGCTCTAGGTTTGGTTCAAGAACCGGCGAGCCAAGTGGAGGAAACGGGAAAGAAACCAACAAGCCGAGCTCTGCAAGAGCGGCTTCGGCCCGCAGTTCAATGGACTCATGCAGCCCTACGAAGACATGTACCCCAGCTACACGTACAACAACTGGGCCGCCAAGGGCCTCACGTCGGCCTCTTTATCCACCAAAAGCTTCCCTTTCTTCAACTCCATGAATGTCAACCCCTTGTCCTCGCAGACCATGTTCTCGCCGTCCAACTCCATATCCTCCATGACTTCAGGCATGGTGCCATCGGCGGTGACCGGCGTGCCGGGCTCCAGCCTCAACAGCCTCAATAACTTGAACAACCTCAGTAACCCGTCTCTCAACTCGGGAGTGCCCACCTCGGCGTGCCCCTACGCGCCTCCGACCCCTCCCTACGTGTATAGGGACACTTGTAACTCCAGCCTGGCCAGCCTGAGACTGAAAGCCAAGCAGCACTCGAGTTTTGGATACGCGAGTGTGCAGAATCCGGCCACTAATCTGAGCGCTTGTCAGTACGCTGTGGACAGACCAGTCTAATACCTACCTGCACTGCAAAAAAAGTAACCACCATAGCGAGTCATTATAGGCTAGTGACACTTAAAGTGTTATTTTTCTCTAAAAGGAGTGGGGGAACCTGGCAGATAATTGCACTTGTGTCATGAGATTTATGGAATTTCTTGATCATGTGGCATTTTCTTGGTACTAGTTGGAGTGAGACATGCATTTTTCTGACTTTTTCTTCAAAATATTGCCACTTGTTTCTTGAAAATCCCCAAACTCTCCATTACTAACAAGTGAGGATATTCCATCCAGTTATTTTGGGGGGGAATTATACATTGAGGGTGATTAAACGACCAAATGGCTTGTTGTGGTGGTCATTTTTTGCAGTGTGTGGGTAATCACAAACAGCCGGCCGCAGGAACAAGAGACTACTACAACTACTTTTTCATTTTTTTCAAAAAGGGCACTATATAAGACTGAACCACTGAAACAAGCTCAACTCCAGATCGGAGTCAAACTGAAACGGGAGGTTTTAGGTTTATTCCCTCTTTTGATGAGTCCAGGCCTGCTTCACACTGCACCACCGTTTTAAAAAAAAAAGAAAGAAAAAAAGGCCTGTTTTATTTTTCATATCTCGTCATGAGGTTTTTTTTCTGGTGGACTTTGGACGTTAATTGTTGACTAATAAGGTTGTATATATTTGAATTATCATCTCCCGTTTGTCGAGGCGAATGCGCTATAACCCTCCAGTCCTATCCAGGTTCAATTTATCAACGCATGTGGAAAAGAAAAAAAAAAAAAAACCTTAAAAAAGGAATCATGTTTTGCTTGCAAACAAAAGGGAATGTACATACTAAAACGCACCAGTTGTGTGTTTCTAACATATTATAAATTTATTATTAATGTCTGTGTGAATATCGATTTAGAATAGCAATTCTGGATTTAAAAAAAAAAAGAAGCATAAAAAAATGTTCCTGCGACAAATTATTTGGTTTTTGCTCTGTGTATACTATTTGGTACGGAATTATGTTTTGTTTTTTTTCAACATCCAAAAAAACTATTGTGTTTTATTTAATGGAAGTAAATATATTGTTCAAAAGCATTCTGATGTTATTGAATCTTTGTGTTGCTAGTCTGTTAGTGGGGTGTAAAGCAATGACAAGTCTGTCTATAGCCTTTCGATTGTGTGAGACGCTTGTGCGGCTAATCTATAGAGGAAAACAATGGGCCGCTCCAATACACATAGCAGCGAGATGCTCCGTCAGATTAACTGCTGAATACATGTCTGCCCGCTCAGCCAAGGGCCTCGGCGGGTCACTGGTGCTTGAAATAACACGGGAATCAACAAACAGGAGTTGGACCACACAACAGTGACAGTCCATTAGGGTTTGTTTTTGTGTCTCAGAAGACTTTGTAGTTCTCTGGAAGGGATTATTAGAAAACCTAGAATCCACATCTTTAAAAAAAACATCATCTGATTAAATGACTGCGTTTATTTAGGATTTAATTGAACAAGGCATTTTTCTAAATTAAAATTGTACCGATTTATTTATTTACATGGTGCGTAAACTGTAACTGTGAGATCTAAATCAACCATACAGAACTTTTGTTTGAAGTTTATATGTTCAAGTCTTGCTGCCTTTATTTTGTTCCGGAATCTAAATTCCCTTCATGCAGCCTATACCTGACTCGCGCGTGCATCCGTTTGCTTTTGCATTGTGGCTTTCTTTTGTTACTTGTCTTTTTTTTAAGTCAGGCTTTATAGCGCGCAAATGCACCAAAGCAAAACAAAGCTACGGTCGAGGGAAACTATGATTCACAAGCTTGAGCAAACAATCGCCCGCGCGCGCGCACACAGAGCGAGGGAGAGATACAGAGGTATGCGGGCCGAAGCTGACTGGAGGCGGGGGATGAGTGCAGCTTCTCGGCTGCAGGCAAAGGGGTGGACACCGGGGAGGAAACACCGCAACACTCCCTGCAGAAAAAAATAGAGAAATAAATGAGTGGGACTTTGGGGTGTGCAGGTTGAGCAGCGGTCATTTTACAGCCTCAAAATGTTGATCGTGTGAGTTGTTTGTGTTTATAGTCGATCAAATAACTTTTCACTATAAAATCAACTAGAATATTCAAGGGGGAAAAAGAGTAAATGTGGCCGCTTGGTGAAGGAGCTGATTTAGGATCTGATGTCATGCTACAAGAGGCCTCAGGTCATCTCCCGAGGGAGGTTATTATGATGAGAAATAAATCCGTTAGTCCAAAAAAGCTGTGCTAAATAACAAACCCAAGAGAAGCATCCTGCAGCCTGAACTCCTGAACTCGCCCTCCAGAATGAGATTTTCTTCTTAAAAAAAAAAGCTGGGGGGGGGGGGGGGGGGG